CTTCTTCACGTTCGTTTCCGGCGCTTTTTGGCTAATGGCTACGGTACGAAGTACACGCGTCGTGCAGTGCTAAGGACATTAGTGTGCTCTCGTGGACTTTTCTCACCGAAGACTAGACTCAGTGTGGACAAATAGAGGACTCAACAGTGCGACTCGACTCAGGCAGCTCGGGATACAGCATCATCGGCGACTCAGGCTCACCACGCATCGCGCAAGCCGGCGCCGCGTGGACACGGCTCACGGGCATCTACATCGCGAGGCCGGTGTTCGATCAATAATATCGACCCGTGCAAGTGATTTAAGGACTTCTCATTCACCGCTTATTCATAGACTGCTCACTGTAAGCTTCTTTCATTTATTAAACTGGGACACGATACTTTTATCCAATCTACACAAGGTATGATCACGTGATTTCCACCCTCGCAAGCGTGCATCCGTTCCCTGAGCCTCTCACCGCTAAGTCCTCTCACCCTGCATCCACCAGCAGCGGTAACCAGCGAACTCGCCTCGCGGGATTCGCGAACAGTAAGGTCAATGGCAACGAATACCGAAGACTTCTCAACAATGAACTTGTTGAATTGTTGGATGATGTACCGCTGAAATTACGTATTAATATGTGGTTTCAGCAGGATGGCCATCCTGCACACACTGCCAAGTTAACAAGAGAATTGTTAAATAACAAATTCGGTAGTCGTTAGATTGGTCTTCATGGTCCCCGCGAATGGCCGCCGCGTTCACCAGACCTCACACCGTTAGATTTTTTTTCTGTGGGGTCATCTGAAGCAACAGGTTTAAGCAACGCGACCTGTCAGCGTTGAAGATCTGAAGGATCGAATTGTGCGAGCTTGCCAGGCAATAAATCCACAGATCTTACGCAAGGTGCGTCGCTCACTTTTGGAAAGGGCTACATTTTGTGAGAGGATGGAGGGGGGCCATTTCGAGCACCTTCTAAAGTAAAAATAAGATGCATTAATAACATGCTGGGCACGGTCTCACGTTGATGTATTTTTTCATCTGCGTGTGCTCTTACCCAATATGATTTTAATACATCTGATTGAGAGCTTTACTGCAAAATAGGTCTATAAATGTGGTATAATATGACTACAGGCGAAGGTCCATTTTAAAAACCTAACGCGCCATTTGGTGATACCTCAAGGGTGGTGTGGAAGTCCACTGTTGCAATGTTACTTATTCAGTTATTAATTTTATTTTCTTTAAGTACAGCAACAGATTTTTTAACAACTAAATTTTAACTCGGTCCTTTTAAGATATAAATCAATTACAAGTGTAACCGCCTCTTTATTACGATCTGGCACAGATGGAAGTAGCCAATTGAAATATCAAAATATTTTTTGCATAATGACGCAACTTTTATAAGAATAATTGTAGACTTTATAGTTTTGTATGTATAATTTCTAACGCTGTAGATCCAACTCTTCTTCTACGCGTTGAAATGTAAATGCTTTCACGTAAGCGTGAAAAGAATATGTCATCAAATAAAGAATTTTAATAAAATATTATTGAAAAAGATACGCAAATATCGAAATTTATTTGTTTTTACGCGATAGATACACAATGATAATTAAGAAATTACGTTACTATACATATCCATGTAAAAACTAAAACGCCTAAGAAAGTTGGATATACATATTATTTATCGGAAACGTATGTATGCATGCAACAGATTATTTGATTCTGTTTTTAACGTGCCTGTACTGCAGATCGATCTATGCCCTGCCGAAAATGGTCGATTAAAACCGATTAAGACAAAAAGTAATCCAAATTGATCGAGATTTCTGCACCGAAAATACGGTATTAAAACCGATTGAAAATATATCATATTCTGGCGGATTCCCAGTGAGAAATATTTCGTTGATCAATGTCGAAACGATATCGAATCGACGTCAATTTGACGGTATCGATGTCGATTCGACATCGTTTTGACATCGATCGACGAATCATTTCTCACTGGGTTAATGTTGGGTTATATACATCCACCTCAATCCGATATTATACGATTTCATCAAATCGGTTTTAATGCGATGTGAATTTGTCGGAAACCGACAAAAATAATCCGTTACTATTGGAAATTCGACGATTTTGTGGATTACATCGCGATACACAATTAAAAAAGTGTTAAACGTCTTGCTTATATTTCATGTAAACTTTATTTTATTTTAATTATCACATTCTACAAGAATACTATCGTGTAATATATTTTACGATATCAATACTGCTTGGTTGAGTTACCTTCAACATATTAATTTTAGAACCTTAAAATAAACTTATATTATAACAAAACGTAATTAAACTTATGATAAATGGACAGTTTATATATGTATAACTGAATGGTATCAAACTTTCAAGTAATACAAACAATTGGTATTAAAATTGGAAATGAAGTAAACACATGCCCGAAATCAGTGAATTTTGGATTAAATCGGATTACAATCATTTCAATTACTAAAAATTGGACATTTCTTATAATGAATTAAAATTGCATATTAGATGGATTATTTTGGATTATACAGGGTGGACGATTTATCTGAAGACATTGAAATATCTCGAGAACTGTGCATCGGATAAAAAAAAGTGGGTAATGAAAGTTGGTCGTCTCAAAGGGGGACATCCTATGATATCAAACTCAACCCCCACCGCCACTCCCTGGGGGTTGGGGTGAGGGGGAAGATAAAAACTTAAATAGGAACCCCCATTTTTTATTGCAGATTTGGATTCTCCAGAAAAAAGTGCCCCAATTTGACCTACAAGTTTTTTTAATTTGGAATCGAGGAGAAAGGGCTCTGAGCCGTGACGAGATGTACGTGTCAAATTATAAAATAATTTATTGTTAAACTAGCATAAAAATTAAGAATTATTATAGATATGTCGATGACATTTTGCTGGCCGCCCCTTCAGACTAGTTTGATCATGTTCTCAACGTGTTTAATTCCTTCCATAAGAGATTAAAATTCACCCTCGAAATCAGTTCAAACAATCAAATCAACTTCCTTGATGTTTCCATTATGGTGAGACAGAATACTATATATTTCGATTGGTACCACAAACCAACTTTTTCCGGTAGATATCTAAACTTTAGATCACACCATCCTCTCTGCCACAAAAGGGGCGTCATTTTCAGTCTGGTTGACAAAATGTTACTTCTGTGTCACCCTCAATTTCACGAAAAAAAAATCTCAAATTCATTATTCAGATTCTGTTAAATAATTGCTATCCACTATCCTTTATTTTCTCTTCCATTAACAACAGACTCAAACTACATTTGTTTAAAAAAATGAACAATGCCGTTGTAGAAAAGAATGACGAACTTCCTAAAAAATCTTTTTTCTCGGTTCCTTATGTAAAGTCTTTTTCCGAGAGATTCTCAAACATAGTAAGCAAATTCGAATTTAGAATAGCTTACTCCTGCCACCATCCTCTCGGAAGATTCATTAAGACTGGCAAAGACAAACTAGACAAGTTAGCGCATAGTGATGTGGTGTATAAGATCCCTTGCAAGGATTGTGATGCCACATATGTTGGTCAGACAAAAAAACAATTAGGTACCAGAGTAAAGGAACACTACAACGACATTAAAAGGAATCTCGCATCCCCCTCTGTCATATCTTGCCATAGAATGGACGCTTCACATGAATTTGACTGGGAAAACGTTGCTATTCTTGACGAAGAACCTTCATACCAAAAAAGATTGATCTCAGAGATGATTCATATAAAAACACAGGCCAATTCTCTGAACAAACAATCTGATACAGAATTATTATCCGAGGAATACCTACCTATTATAAACCTACTCCCTCCTCCTAAATAACTCCCCCCACTCCTCCTCTCCTACTCCCCCCTTCTCCCGTACATCCCACTGCCTTCTCTTACTGTAAGACAATTCCCGTACCATTTGCCAAAGTTACCTTGCTACGAACATACTGACCAAATCGATCCAGGTCACAGCATTTCCAACAAAAATAATAAGTAAGTGTTCTAATTCTAATTCTGTTTCTTTTACCAATTATAAAACCAATGTATATTTTTCCTTACAGCTCATTGTGGTACATTACCTTTATATCATCCTACGTTTTTTATAATGTTGTACACGACATGCGTTGCAATATGTTAACCGTCACGACACTTTATAAAACTATTGTATTTTACTGAAGATGGTCTAAAATTCGATCGAAACGTTATAATTCTTAATTTTTATGCTAGTTTAACAATAAATTATTTTATAATTTGACACGTACATCTCGTCACGGCTCAGAGCCCTTTCTCCTCGATTCTGATTTATATCATACGAGCCTTTTGTCACATATTTTTTATTTTAGTTCACAGATGGCGCTGTAATCGTTAGCATTTGCGATGTTTCTAAAACATTCATTTCGCTACGTACTTTAAACGTTTTATTCAAAACGTAAACTGTAAAACATTTCACTACCTCGCAATAACGTTCAACCATAGTGCGAACAGCGCTCATGAAATGCGACCATATTTTACCTACCCCCACCACTGGAGTTGTGTCTCTTGGTCTCTAGTCTTCTTGGTAACGTGGCTTACATAATTATTCGGCGTTCAGTTTTTCTAATTACCGCAGTGATGTTTTGTTGAACACAACAATGACGTCTGCCCGTATTCAGACTCCTGCTGTTGCTGAGGAGGATCCGCAACAGTTACGACATGAGGTAAGTGACAAACCTATTTATAACTCATCTAACCTATCTAACCTAAAACGGACTAGCTCGTCTGATGCCAGGATCGAGAGGAGGTCCGAGGATAGCTTAAATAACTTGTACGCAAGTGGTTTTGATGGACAAACAAAAGAAAATATTTATTCGTATAATACTAAATACATGAAATGATTTGATATACGTGTTAATGATGATGCGCGCGGACGGACTGACAGATGAAACGCGGACGTGAATATATATTGTTTCGACGGCGGACGATTAACGGACGCGGACGCGAACGGCGGATCGGTTTGAGGCGGGAGTTGCGGGCTGTTGCACTAGCGTGCGGCCGATCCTAGAGTCTGCCGATCTGGAGATTCGCGGCGCGAGGGCTGCGTTGCGCGAGATCACGCGGGGTACGCATGCCGCGGGAGTATCGCGTGCTTGCGTGGCGTGAAGGTGCGTCGCCGTAGAGTCCCGGCGATTGAGAGAGTGCGAACGAGTGGGTGAGTGCCTGCGGCGCCCCGTGCCGCTTCCGCCGCTGTCGGTGGCGGGTTTCGTGCGGACGGATCGTCCTAAGCGAGATCCCCTGCCGACCAACGCGGCCGGCGCGGTCGGGCGAGAGTAGCGTAGTTGGCCGTCGGGCACTGCCCGGCGTAGAAGTGCACGTCGCGCGTTCTCGATAGCCGGCAGCAATCTGTCGCGGATTGTGAGGCGGGCCGATCCG